TAATTGTCCCTATACACTACTGTTAGCTGTTCATCAGAAGTGCACTTTCTCTGTGAAGTAATTGTGTTTCTAAAAGGTCTTATTCTCAGACTTAAGTTCTTTGTGTAAACAGAAACTGCAGTATCAACAAAGCTTAATTGAGCAGAATATGCAATGACAGGAAATATATAAAAGCAATCTTTACTGAAGATAGGCAACCATTTAAATAAACTTTTTACAGATGAGGAATTGAGGATAAACAGTTCATCAAAACCCAATTTTAAAACTACACCACCATTCAGAGAATTACTACTGAATTACTATCTACCCCAAATGGCATTTGTGCCAACCGAAGCTCTGAGCTCAAACCCTATAATTAACTGACCCATCGTAGGATCTCATACATGCCACGTGAGTGCTTTATAAGAGTGCTCTTTCTTTCTGTTTGGGGTTGTTCATAAGTTTTGTTTCACTTCCTCATTTTGGAATATGGACTTGCTAAGCTTCCCAGGCTGGCTTGGAACCTGCACTCCTCTTGTCTAACCCACCCAGGTGAGGTGCATCACACCACATTGGCCCCCTCTCCATGACTGAATTTTTTCTTTTAAAATAAGTGCCTAAAGCTGATATGATAAAAGGGCTAAAGTCCCCTAAATGTTAACAAGGACTACTGACCCTTTCACAGTTCTCTGGTAGACACAAATAGCTCCTCTGGGAATCTGGCAGGCTCTACAACTCTTAGATCATTGAGTATGCAGAAATGATGCCCTAACAGATTTCAGACCCAAGATGAAGTGACCAACTTTCACTTCCTGTTCCTGGACAATTGCCTCCTGCAGCACCCTTACAGCCCTATGAAAAAGCCCATAGAAAGAGGACTACGGGTCCAGGGAACAACCAGTTCCAACTTGGAGCCCCATCAAGTGACTCCTTTAGCAACAGTTGATGCTGCATGGAATAGTGATAAGCATGCCCACTCCATCCAACCCAAGTCAAATTCAAGGATAAAATAAAGAACTACTGGAATATACAGTGAACCTTAATCCAAGGTTTCCTAAGAGATAAAATCAATGAAATGGAACAGTTGTTGTGGAATATTACTTCAACTATCTGTAATTGTGTTGCATTTGTTTATGCTGCACTCTTTAACTATGTAAAGGTGTGTTATACTTGTTTCACCTTGCCTGCCTGCCTGCCTGCCTAAGGCACCTGATTGGTCTAATAAAAAGCTGAACAGCCAATAGCTAGGCAGTAGAGGGCTAGGCAGTGCTGGCTGGCATAGAGAATGAGCAGGAGGAGGATTCTTGGCTTCAGAGAAGAGAAAGGGGACAGCCAGCCAGGCAGCGGCAGCCAGCCAGAGGAAGCAGGGAAGCAGGACACACAGAAGGAAAGAAACGTAAACAGCCCCGAGGCAAAACGCAGATGAAGAGAAACAGGTTAAATTAAGTTATAAGAGCTAGTGGGGCCGTGCTGTGGTGGCGCACACCTTTAATCTCAGCACTCAAGAGGCAGAGCCAGGCAGATCTCTGTGAGTTCGAGGCCAGCCTGGTCTACAGAGTGAGATCCAGGATAGGCACCAAAATTACACTGAGAAACCCTGTCTCAAAAAACAAAAAAAAAAAAAAAAAAAAAGAGCTAGTGGGATAAGCATAAGGCCAAACATTCATAACTAATAAGTCTCTGCATCATGATTTGGGGGCTGGTGGTCCTAGAAAGCCTACTCTGTTAAAGACAGTAAAATACTCTAAATTTCAACATTTGCTACATAACTAAATTACTCATATACCTTTATATTCTAGATGATTACTTTCTAATTTACAGATGAGGGTCATTGTGGTAGTTTGAATAGGAATGGCTCCCAGAGACTCATGTTTGAAAGCTTGGCCTATAGGAAGTGGCACTATTAGGCGTGGCCTTGTTGGAGGAAGTGTGTCACTGTGAGGGTGGGTTTCGAGGTCTCATGCTCAAGCTATGCCCAGTGTGGCATGCAGTCTCCTGCTGCCTGTGGATCAAGATGTAGAACTATCAGCTCCTTCTCCAGCACCATGTCTGTCTGCACACTGCCATTCTTCTTGCCATGATGATTAAGCCTCTGAATCTTTAAGCCAGCCCCAATTAAAGGTCTTCCTTTATGAGAGTTGCTGTAGTCATGGTGTCTTTTCACAGTAACAGAAACCCTAAGACAGAAGTTTGTACCAGGGACTAGGGTATTGTTTTGATAGGCCTGACCATGTTTTTATTTGAAGGAATGCTTCAAATTTTGGAATATAAAAGCAGTTCAAAGCTTTAAGTGGGGCATAATGGGCCATACTAGTAGAAGCATGGGAGATAGTGGTGCTGAGGGTGGTTAAAATTGTGGGGGCCTGGCTCAAGAGGTTTCAGAGGAGAATTTTAGTATGTTGCCTAGAGATCATTTCTATGATATTTTGGTGAAGAATGTGGCTGCCTTTTGCCCTTGTCCAAAAAGTTTGCATGGGGCTAAACTGAAGAGTTCTGTGTTAATTCTGCTGGCAGAGGATATCTCAAAACAGCCTAATATTGACTCTGTTGTGTGGTTATTAGTGGTCACTTTTACACAAATCTACAATGAAAGGGAGCAAGTTGAGAAGGAAAAAATACAAAATGTACAATTTGAGGAAAAGGAGCACCAGGAAGTAGAATGGAGCTAAATCCTGAGTTCAAGGAGATAAACAGATTAAGAAATGGAATAAAAAGAGTGGTGGTATGCACCTTTAATCTCAGTACTCATTTAGGAGACAGAGGCATGCAGATCTCTGAGTTCAAGGCCAGCCTGATCTACAGAGCAAGTTCCAGGACAGTCAAGGTTAGGCAGTGAAGAAAACCACGGAAAAGAGAAAGCTGATGAAGTAATTGAACAATGGGGCCATGTTCCAGCCCCCAGCAAGCAGAACTTGGCAGCTTTGGCCACATGGTTCTGGCTTTAGAGTGAAGGACAGATGAAAGGTATTATGGAATTTGCCTCTGCTAATAAGGAAAGCCATTGAGATCAGGCATGTGTCAGAGGTGTCCCTGAATGGAAGCCCAGAAGAATTCATTTGAGTGAAGCTGTGAAGTTGAAACATGGATTGCCTTAGAGACCCCAAGATGTTGGAGATGCCAGAGTCATGGGATATCTGCTGAGGATAGGTGCTAACAGGGAGTGGAACCAGCCCAAGAAAAATAAGTATGTTGCAGTCAACAAAGCTGAATGGAGTTGGAGATCTGAAGTGTTTTGACATCAGACACAGAGATGCAGAGTTTGGAGTTTGCCCAGCTGGTTTTTGGTCTTGCTGTGGTCCAGTATTTCATTTTGCTCCCTTTCCTCCATTTTGGAATGGTAATGTATATCTGGTGCCATTATGTTGGAAGTATGTGATCTGCTTTTTTTATCTTAATTTTACAGAGGATCACAGTTAAGAGAGTGCATGAATTTCAGAAGAGACTTTGAACACTGAACTTTTTTAAAGAGTTGAGACTGTTATAGAATATGGGGGCCTTTGAAATTGGACTGAATGCATTTCTGCATTATGTTATGGCTACAAGCCTATGGGGTGGGTGGGAATGGAATGTGATTTGAATAGGAAAGGCTCCCATAGACTCATGTATTTGAATGCTTGGTTCATAGGGAGTGATTCTATTAGGAGGTGTAGCCTTGTTGGAGCCTGTATGGCTTTGTAGGAAGTGTGTCACTGTGGGGGTAGGCTTTGAGGTCTCATAAGCTCAAGCTATGCCCAGTGTGATATATAGTCTCTGCTGCCTGCAGATCAAGATGTAGAACTCTCAGCACCTTCTCAAGCACCAAACTGTCTGCATGCTGCCATACTTCTCATCATGATAGTAATGGACTAAACCTCTGCAACTGTAAACTATCCCCAATTAAATGTTTTCTTCCTAAGAGCTGCTGTGGTCATGGTGTCTCTTCATAGCAATAGAAACCCTAACTAAGACAGTTATACACCCACAAACTAAGTAGCTTCTCAAGGTTAGGGACATGCTTAGTAGGCAAGTGTAATGAAGGAGACTCCAAGTTACTTCTGGGGTGACTCATACACACACTAAGTACAGGGCTTGCTTTTCACAACTACTCTGCCCATCATTTACTTTGAGAAACCCTTCACTCTAATCACAGTAACTGATACTCATTTCTACTAATTCTGATTTCAGGAGAAATACTACTGACTCACCAATTATATGGTATTTTGTGGTTGTTTTTTGTTTTTGTTTTTAAAGCTCTGGGCTCTATCATTTGTTCCAGGAAGACCCTCAAGTACTGAGATTTAAAGTACACTTTTCTTCTCTGCACTTCATTAGCATATGATCTGTATCTGTCTGATAGTATTCATTACTTATATGATTTATCTTTTCTCTATACAAAACTTCTTCTGGGTCAGGCTCCATGGCTGGGTCATACATGTGGCTCTCCTCAGAGGATCCACTACAGTACCTTATACATCATAGCTGGGTCAATAAATATTCACAGAATGAATTATTGAATAAATATACAGCATAGGAAGACTATAAGTAAATGTAAACTCCTTATATTTCTCCCAGCTCTTTGCAGCCTTTCCTCGCAGGGCTAGTTTTGTAAATCCTTAATCATCTTAGTGGCTCTCCAAGTTCTCATGCTTTAGCCATAAGGCCTCAGAGAGCAGAGTTCCCTTTAAAATTCCAATAACTGCTGTATGCATCACTATTTAGTAAATTACATACATTTTGGATTTTTTCCCCATGAGGTAGTAATCACTGTTTGGTCTCAAAACATTTAAAGCCCCTGACACTGAAAAAGTCCCAAATTCTTCTAAAGAAAGGGACAATGAGGGCATATGAATAAGCACTGAGAATAAACCTTCAACTCTGCTCACAAATCTCAATGCCATCATGATGATCACACCTTTTCTATATGTGTCCAGAGCAGAGAGAGGAGTTAGACTAAATCACCAGTTTTCAGAAGTATAATGTTACATATGAAATGATGTGGCAAAGCACAGCTGCAGAATGTATGAAATCCCCTTCAAAGGGAGTGAAGAGCAAGGCCGCATGCCTTTTATTGCTGCACACTTAATGACAGAAGGACAGAGTTGGTCAGTAATGAAGCAAAACCATGTTCCACATTCTTCTGCAGGACTTTCAGAGCCTTGTATTTTGTCTTCCTTTGGTATGGTCTTTCAGCATCAGTTAAGTTTGGTGGATGCTTCTAGCAAGTCCTTTGCTTCATTTATTTTGGATGCTAAGTAAGGAGATCCACCTAGGAGGACAAAGAGAAATGAATAGTTAAAGTCTGTCATTACTGACATTTTAAAAATTCAATATAGAAAAAAACACAACAACTATAATTCAGGTATTTTCCCACACATTTATTTTCTGACAAACTATTTTATATGCTTACCAGGAATCAAAACAGCACAAATTAAACTTATTTAGTGAAGCATTACATGTACCCACCAGTCAAAATACAATTTCTGAGAAAAATGTAAGTTACACATTTTGGAGATCAGCCCTCTGTCAGATATGGGGTTGGTGAAGATCTTTTCCTATTTTGTAGGCTGCCATTTTGTCTTATTGACCATGTCCTTTGCCTTACAGAAGCTTTTCAATTTCAGGAGGTCCCATTTATTAATTGTCAATCTCAGTGTCTGTGCTACTTGTGTTATACTCAAGAAGTAGCCTCCTGTGCCAATGTATTCAAGGCTACTTCCCACTTTCTCTTCTATCAAGATCAGTGTAACTGGATTTATGTTGAGGTCTTTGGTTTACTTAGACTTGAGTTTTGTGCAGGGCGAAAGATATGGATCTATTTGCATTCTTGTACATGAGTTATAATCAGTTGAAAAACACTTACTGGTTATATAGTTACCATATAGACATTTGGCCAGAATATTTTCTAAAATTAAGTGTATGATTAAGTAAACAAAATAACAGTTTCTTCACAGTTACATCTCAAAAGCAATAAATATTACCTTTCAGAAGAGCTAAATCCATCTAAGGGGGTCTTTTCATGTCTTATCACAATTTTGCAAAGTAAACACTTGTTTAAAAGGCACATATATAATACATAGTGCTAAGAATCATACTTGCTAAGATAAAAGATCTAACACTAATAACTGAGTGAAAATAAAAATAATGCTAGAAGAAATTCTCCTGTTCTCTGAAATGGTTCTATTACAACATTTACAATGTAGTCTTGGATTTACAATACCCTCAAATAAAATTAAGTCAGTTACTTTTTAGAGTTCTTTGCAATCAATTATTTCTAATGCAAACAGCAAATTGAGGTGAATTTCAAATACAGAATCATTATAATCACAAACAATGCTTATTTGACATATAAAAATATCCCAAACTGTCACATGAAAGCTACACATCATATCCTAACTTCTATTCTAGAACACTGACATTGCTTAATGCTTGAACTAACAATCATCTTACAGTTTCCAGTTTCTGTTTTTATTTTGTATTTTTCTCTTCAGTACAAACTATGGCTGTTGAAAATATTGTAATGCCTCACAACTTTTGTTTGTTTGTTTGTTTTTGAGACAGGGTTTCTCTGTGCAGCTTTGGAGCCTGTCCTGGAACTCACTCTGTAGCCCAGGCTGGCCTCGAACTCACAGAGATCCGTCTGCCTCTGCCTCCCGAGTACTGGGATTAAAGGCATGCGCCACCACCGCCCGGCTATGCCTCACAACTTTTAAGAAACCAAAAGTGTTTAGACAGTATAGATATAAACCATCCTGGCTTTACGCAGGTCTTCAGTTGTTACCACCTATCACCTCATGAAGGAAAAAGCAAGCAGAGAAAATACATCAACAAACACGGGCTGCAGTAGAGCTGGAGGAAGCTATATTTAGTTTTTGCCTTTGAGGATACCAATGACATTTTCATATCAAGAAATGAAACATAAACATTTAAGGAATATATCACACAGTGACCTTGAGTACACAATGAGAATTACAAAGAAAGTTTATAACCCTATAAGTTGATTTCATGATTATCTCTAAAAATAACCTTGGAACACGTAAAGCTCATCTTTGTCAGTTGCTTAAATGTTTGAGTTAGCAAGGAGTTGCCAGGTACTTTGTGTGCTCTAAAAAATATTAAAATATTAACTGATCTTAGCTATAACCTTTAACTGGTCAATATACATTCTAAATATTTAAATTATAAGTCATGATAGGCTCACAACAGAAAACAAATAAACAAACAAAAAGAGCACAGAAGAGTAAAAATCTTATTAAACATTATATTTATTTGTAGATTATCTGATATTATTTATTTAAAAAAATCAGCCCAGTAGATGCTGGTTAAAGGAGACCTCATTTTCAAATAATATAAAGTTTCACATCAATAAAAATAAAGTAAGCATTGCTATGCTAATTATCACAGGAAAACTGCTTTAAGGCAAAATGCAGTAATAGAGATTTTACGGTGTTTTAAGTTAATCTATGGGATAAAACAATGAGATTTAGATTTTTTACATGCCTAATATCTTAAGATCAGAACACATAAAACATCGTCACAACCAAAAAGGAAAAATACACACCCCATAATCACTGGGAGGTTTAGCACACGTCTCAATAATTGATTGAACAACTACAGAAAGGGTAAGAACATCAAAATAAATTACATGATGAATAAATGTGATTGAGCTGATACTCTTAAGACATTCCACCCTTGAAAAGCAGAATACAGCTTTAAAGCTGCAAACTTAGAACACCACGTCTCAGCAAACTTAAAAACATCAAAATCAACGAGTGCATTCTGTTGGCAGTGACCAGCCAAGCTTAGTATTTTGAGAATAATACAGATCAATTTTATAGACCTCAATTTTTTAGTAGATTCATTTGTTGTATTTTACAGGTCACCAGGGTTCAGAGGTGAAGAGCACTTGCTGCTCACCTGAGCTGCCATCAGTCAGCTGTCTGTGAGCTTATCCAGTCAGACCAAATATGACCAAGTTAGGCTTGTATCAGAAGAGCAAGATTGACTTTAACGAACATTCCAAAGTTAAGCAATGTAACTCAATGCATTAACAGCTGAAGCAAAGCATACCATCCTCTCAGTAGACACAGACAATTCAAAACACCGTTGTAATAAACTTTTAATGAACTAAAAAGAGACAGGAGTGTGGTTTGTGTGCTAAAGCCATCAGAATACAGTCAATGGCACTGTTAGTAGTGAAAGGCTGGAAACCGGATCTGAGGTGAGGACAAGAGACAGCAGCCATCACTGCTGCCCTATAACACCACATGGGAGGGACTTGCCATGTAGCCTTTCCTCCCCCACCTCTTCCTAACACAAAAGGAATAAAGACCAGAAAGAAATGGTCACTGTTTAAAAATGATACCAACTACTCCACAGAAAATCCAAAATGATCTAAAGACAAATCACTGATTTCATAAAAAAAATCCAACAAGTTGATGGATAAAATATAAAACATTTGAAAGTCAGCATTTCTGTATTCTAATAAGTAACTATATAATTGTTTCTGAAACATGACAATTTATAGCAGAAAACCTACAATACTAGGATGGAGAGATGGCTCATCAGTTATGAGCATTTGTTGCTTTTCCAGAGACAAAGATTTAACTTCCCAGCACCTGTATCAGGCAGTTCACAGCCCTCTGTAACTACAGCTCCTGGGATCTGATGCCTCTAGCCTCTGTGGACAGCTGGACTCATGTGTACTACCCACACAAACACAAACACCTATACATAATTAAAAAAACATCCATCTTTACCTAGGGGTTGGGGTGGTAGCTCAGTGGAAAAGGACCAGATAAGCATGTGCAAAGTCCTGGGCTCAATCCCAACGCCTTCAAAACAAACAAACAAACAAACCAAGCAGAACCAATACCTAGCAATAAACAGGATAAATCACAGATATGACTGAAACACAGACACTGTGAAAACGGAAACAAAGATGATCTAAACAAATGTTCCTGTTAAGTCAATAACTAAGCTCCAGTCCACTGGAGACAGAAGTGGGTATAGAGTAAGGGACTAGAGCAGTGGTTCTCTTTGGGTTGTGACCACTTTGGGGGAGGTGTTGAATGAACCTTTCACAGGGGTCACCTAAGAGCATTGGAAAAGCACAGCTATTTGAATTATGATTCATAACAGTAGCAAAATTACAATTATGAAGTAGCAATGAAAGTAATTTCATGGATGGGGGGTCACCACAACAAGAGGAACTGTAAAGAGTTGTAGCATTAGGAAGCATTGAGAACCACTGGGCTAGAGGAAACAGATAGATCTCATAGGAAAGGGAAATGAATAGATAGATATGGATGGGGGGCTGGACAGGAGGATCAACTCGGAAGGGGAGGGGAGGGGAGGGGAGGCAGATAGTAGAAGAGAATACAGGAAGAGACAACTGAAACTGAGGAGACTGTGGAGGAATATGGAAACCTAATGCAGTAGAAACTTCCTAAAACATATACATATATGAAGGTGATATAAATGAAATTACCAAGTCATTAATGGGGGAGACAGAGTCCCAACTGGCCATCTCTTATCACCAAATGAAGCTTCTAGTACCAGAATTGGGCTACATTTAATTGAATTGTTGGCCAAAGGGGCCTCATGGGACTCCTCAAACAACTCAGACTGTTGCCAAGACTATAGGTTGCCCTCCCACAAACTGATGGCAAGGTCCACTGCCGAAAACGACACCTACACAACTCATTGAACATGGAGATGTCAAGTTGGTGCTCACATAGAGCCTTCACCCCTATGTTCCAGCATCTTTGGTACAGGAAGGTATTCTGTATGCTATCAAAAGAGAAACGTAAACACCAGACCAACCACAAATCCTTTATCTACAATGGTGTACTACCTGCAAGATATGCTGGGGCAATGGGGGCACAAAGCGTGTGGGAGTAAGCAACCAATAAATGATCTTACTTAAGGCCCACTGCACGAGATGGAACCCATACCCCACACTGCTTGGGTGACCAAGAACCTGAGACTCGATAGCCCAGGGACCTAGGGTAAAACCAAGTAATACAGGTCTAAAAAAAGGGGGGTGTGTGTGGAAATGTAGTGATAAAACAATCACTAATGATATTTTGCTATAATAGATTAGTGACTTGTTCAGTCATCATCAGAGAAGCTTCCTCCTGCAGCAGATGGGGACAAATACAGAGACCCACAGCTAGGCATTACACAGAAAGTGAGAGACCTTGTGACACTCAGCCCTAAACAGGATGTCTCTATCAAATCCCTCCCCTCAGAGCTCAGAGAACCCCA